ATGTCAAGGAGCTTTTCTGCCTATATTTTTTTCTAGGAATTTTATGGTTTCAAGTCTCATGTTTGAGTCATTAATCCACCTGAGTTAATTTTTGTATATTGTGTAAGACAGTGGTTAAGTTTCATTCTTTTGCATGTGGCTGTCCAGTTTTATTGAGGAGACTGTACTTTCCACATTGCATTTTTAAAGTACCATTTACAATAGACCCAACCATTTAATTCACAAAATATGTTATGTTTAAAATTAGGAAATAGTGACTAAAGAACTCATAGAAATCTGAAGAAATTGATAGAAATAACATGTTCATGGGCTGGAAGAGTCAATATTGTTAAGATGTTGACTCTTCTGAAATTGATCTAGGGATTTAAAACAATTTCAGTTAAATTCCAGAAGGACATTTTGGTAGTACAAATTGACAATATGATTGTAAAATACATGCAGGGAGCAAAAAAATTTAAAGTCTTTACTATAGTTAAAATACTCAGAAAATTGTGGTATTAGAGAAATGAGAGAAGTATAGATCAAGACAGAGAGTACAGATTACCAGATAGAGTCCAAAATAGATTCATGTCCATTGATCATTGACAAAGGTGCAAAGACAGCTTGGTGGAAAGTAGTCTTTTCAACCAATGATGCTGGAAAAATTGGATTTCCATGTGAAAAGAAAACCTTCAATGCATACCTGACAGTCTCAAAAACAATTCACTCTTAATGAATCATACACCAGAATAATTGTATGCATATTGAGAACGTTTCCTATAACATCCTGTTTTGTGGAGTCAGAGAAGTCCTAGGGCAGGGACTGAAGACCATGTGGAGTAGAACTGAGGTGAGGTGCCGTCAAGTTGCATGTACTAAAACTAGTTAAAGTCAGTGCAGAGCTGGCTATTGCAGCTATGACTGGAGTAAAAGATGAGGCTGAGAGAAAAGGGGCACAAGAAGTTTCTCCTCATATGGTTCTCAAGGGGGCAGTGCTTCTACCAGGGGATGTCACAAGGTTTCATTGAATTGGAAGTGGAGCCTACCACCTGGACATTTTGTGGGTTCCTATGTGAAGCCCTATACAAAGGGTGGGATTACCATTGAGCCTGGGGTAGTGCTATAGATTAGCAAGGAAAAACTGGTTTGCTCCATAGCTGGAGTAGAGAGTACCATGTCTGAAATTCTGAGGAATTCTTGGAGTACCACTTAGTTTTTCATGTCTAAAAACAAGTGTTAACAAAACTGTAACAACTCAGTATAGCAAGACCAAAGAGAATGCTGATTACCTAGGAAGGAAGGTTTGCATTATGCGACCATGTAAGAATCCCATACAGCTGAGATGATGGCCAAGGAGAACATGAAATGAGTAGTGAAAGAAGATGTAAAAGTTAAGTATGGCCTTGGTCCACTGCAGCATATGGAAGAGCTGGAAAGCAGGAAGTATTCTCACACATATGAAAAGTACTAAAGATGACAGTGATGGCAGGTGCTACTAATGTTTTCCCACAGAAGTAAGAAGGTAGAAACACCTCAGTGGGATTCAAGCTAGGTTTCGTTTTCTATCTTGACTTGAGGAAGAATTGAACATGATCAGGGAGACTTTATCTTTTCTCTTATTCCAGTACTTTCAGTATATCTGCATGTGGCAGTGTCATAGGTATCTACCCCTTGTTAGCTGCAGGTGGTATGTCTCTCCTTGGGTATGTTTATGAGAAGTTGGGTTGTACTGAGAGATTCTGCCACCTTGAGAATTTTTCCAAAATTATGTGTCTTTATTGGCACTTTGCTCAAAGCACTGATGGCTTCTTTTTGCCCACAGAATAAAGCCTGATGCACTCCTCAGATATTTTAGTATATTCACAGTCTGGTCCCTGCTTCTTTTTATGGCTTCTTAAGCCATCCTCCTTTACCTCCCAAAGCGTAGGTTCCAACCACACAGGTCTACTGTTCACATCCTACACAGACAGTGATTAAGTTTTGATACATGAGCTTTTCTCCATCCTAACCTCTCCTCAAAGTAGTCAGGTATGATCAGTGACTAAAATCAGTCACTGCTCTGGGACCTGAGCACATTTGTCCCAGAGAGGCCTTGGGTAATGCTTTGTCTTTAATGAGTTCCTCCAGGATCTAGACTTCTTTGTGATTTAGGGCCCTTTGGCCCAGGGATATGCAAAGTTGTAGATATGAGAAGGGGTTTTGCAGACGCAGGTGATGACTACAGAGGCTGTTTATTCACATGTGTTAGTGAATAAAGGGGAGCAGGATCTCAGTTCAGGGTCCTGGAGTCTCCCTCAGACACACTGGGTAAGTTGTGCAGAGGGTCAACGAGCTGGTCTTTTAGGATACTTCCCACCTAAGGGTCTTGGTTTCCCAGGTTGTACGATGTTCTGCAGAAGTTTTTCAGGTTTGATAAACTTCCTCTTCTCCATGTCTCTGCCTCCCACAATTTCTCCACATTTGAGAAATATTTTTATTAATGTTCACCAGTTACAATACTTTTATTAGTGATAGCACTTATCAATATTACTTACTATATAAGATATTTCACAATATGCATAATTTCAACAAAATAACAGCTCTTGAGATAGGCATTAATGCAACAGTTCTGAACCCTTTTTTATTTTAGAATTATCTTGGAGCTTTAAAACCTTTGTACAGACTTCCTCTTAAAGATTGTGATAAAATGTATCTGACAGGTCCAGTAATCTTTACTTTTAAAAGCATCATGTGTCCTTGCCACTCACTGTGTAGTCCATGGACTATACCATGGGCATTACCTGGGTGCTAATTTACAATGTAGACGAGGGCCTGCTGAGTCAGAAACAGTGTTAAACCAGAACTTCAAGGTGATTTGCATGGACATTACATTTTAGAAGCACTGCCCTAGGTGATTCTTAACTGCAGTCCAGACTGAGAACTCCTGACTTAACAGATGAAGAAGGTGAGAACCTCATTGCATCGTCAGTGGCAGCATCCTCAAGTGCTGTCTGTGGTCTGTGATCTCACTCATACTCTTGACACAAGAGTCACTTTTTTTTTTTAACCAGGGAAACGAAATTCTGTGCAACCAGATGTATGATGTTTTCCCTACATATTTCTCCCCAGTGATACCAGTATCTAAGTCCGTGTGTAAAACCTGTTGGTGTGGATCAGTCTGTCCCAAGGGGTGAAAATCCCAGCAGTTGGATTCAGTTATGTCTTTAATGCAGGAGATTCCCACTTCTCTTAATGCTCTAGTGTGCTTTGTCAGCTTTGAGACACACTGAGGAGTATTAGGGCTCTCCGGAGAAGCAGATCCAATAGGGGATTGTATCTATATCAAGAACTCTATCTATCTACATACTTGCATGTATCTCTATTATTTCTGTCATCTGTATTAGTGAAATTGTAGTGTGTTTTAGATACCATAACATATTCTATGGGGACAAAATTGTATCATAAATTTTGTAAAAAAAAAAGTCAATGTCAGTGGTAAGTGGTTGAGGCTAGTGAGTTCTTGTTCTGGGAGTATTTAGTAGAAGTAGTGATTCTAACTTGAAAATAGTTTTGTTGCTTTTAAAGTTGGAGGCATGCATGTCTCAGCCTGAAGCATAACCAATATTTATGAAACAGCACCTACATCCAGGCACTGTGCCAGGTGCTGGTTCTGCTGCAGTTGTGAAGGCAGACATGGCCTCTCCTACATGGAAATTATGATCTGGTAGGGAAGACTGCTATAAAGAAATAATCTCATTGGCATGGAGTGCTGTGGGACAAGCACAGGACGCTTGGAAACATAGCAGTGCATTCCCATCGGGTCTGGGGAGACAGGGAAGGTTTGCTAGGTAGGCGACATGTAATATATGTGAAGGGTAAACAGAGGCAAGCCACTTGAAAAGGGAGCAGAGGAAGAAAATGCTAGCTGGGAGGGATAGTGCAGGTGCAAAATGCCAGAGCAGGATTGTTGCATTTAAGTCCAGCTCTGCTGGAGAGTGGAATGTGAGTGTAGTTCTGGGGCCAGGTGAACCTATAGAGCTACGCAAAGGTCAGGTCATGAATCACCTTTTGAAAGGAATCTGCCTTTAAGGAATTTGCCACTATGTTAAGATCGATGAGAATCCATGAAGACTTTATGGAGAATGGTCATCAGTTCATCTCAGAATGCCTAGTGTGATGAAGAACATTGACATAGAGAATATTCAAGCATGGAAGCAGGGACATGAATTAAGTTGTCCCAATTGTGCAGACAAGATACGATGTCAGCCTTATCTAAGGCAGTGACAATGTAGATGAAGAGTGGCTGAATGGGAAAGACAATTAATTTATAGATCTTGTTGACAGATTGGATGTTAATGAGAGAAAGGAGGGAATGAAAGAAAACTCTCAGGTTTTTGACTGCAGCACCTGGAGCTCTTTTTTTCTGACATATGGGAGACTAGAGGAGGAGGGAATTGACAGAGGGGCAGGGGAGATCAAGAATTTCTTTTGAGACCTGTTTAGCTGAAAATGCATGTGGTACTTTCAAAGAAAGATAATCATTAAACAATTGAGTATACTCTTTTATAGGTGAGAGAAACATCTACACTGAGATTTAAATGGGAATCAGAACCATTGGAGTAGATGAGTTTTTCTTGGTGGTGTATGTAGAATTATAGGAGATCAGTGTTTAGGAAAAAGCCTTGAACATCAACTTGAAGATATTGACAAAACAAGCTAATTGCAGTTATTCATGATGTCTGTCCAGGCAGGTATGAGGAAAACCAATATAATACGTGTCTCAGAAGCTAAGGGATAAGAATGTTTTAGAATAGTTGGAATATTGTTCCATGTTAAAAGAGAATTAAAGAAAATAAATCATTTCCCATCATAGAGATTCTGATGATAGAGATTTGGAGTACTATAGAGATTAACATTACAGTGATGAGAGTGAGATCAAGTATTTTTGCAGAGCATCTAACAGACTATGTATCATTGAAATATGTTCATGTTTAAATTCAAGTTTTCATGGACACTATTATTTCTTCCTAAAGATACTGGAGTTAGAGCATGACAGGAAAGAATCAAATCGTTGTCTCAGAGTTCCTCCTCCTGGGCCTGCCCATCGAGTCAGAGCAGCAAAACCTGCTCTATGCCCTGTTCCTGACTATGTATGTTACCACCGTCCTGGGGAACCTCCTCATCATCCTCCTCATTTGCCTGGACTCCCATCTCCACACACCCATGTATTTGTTTCTCGGCAATTTGTCTTTCTCTGACCTCTGCTTCTCCTCTGTCACAATGCCCAAATTACTGAAGAACATGCAGAGCGAAGTCCCATCCATCCCCTATGCTGGCTGCTTGACCCAAATATACTTCTTCCTGTTTTTTGCAGACCTAGCAGACTTCCTCCTTGTGTCCATGGCCTATGACCGCTATGTGGCCATCTGCTTCCCCCTGCACTACACCACCATCATGAGTCCCAAGCTCTGTCTGTCCCTGGTGGTGCTGCCCTGGGTGTTGACCATGTTCCATGCCATGTTACACACTCTGCTCATGGCCAGATTATCTTTTTGTGCTGATGTGATCCACCACTTTTTCTGTGATATGTCTGCTCTTCTGAAGCTGTCCTGCTCTGACACTCGAGTTAATGGGTTGGTGATATTTGTTATTGGTGGACTCATCATCATCATCCCGTTCTTACTCATCATCATGTCCTATGCACAAATTATCTCCTCCATCCTCAAGGTTCCTTCTGCCAGGGCCATCTGCAAAGTTTTCTCCACCTGTGGCTCCCACCTCTCTGTGGTGTCCCTGTTTTATGGGACAATCATTGGTCTCTACTAATGCCCATCAGCTAGTAATTCTACTGTTAAGGAGACTGTCATGTCTATGATGTACACTGTGGTGACCCCCATGCTGAACCCCTTCATCTACAGCCTGAGGAACAGAGACATGAAGGGAGCCCTGGGAAGAGTCTTTTGCAAAAAGAAAATTCACTTCTCTCTGCCATGGTAAAGCTTGGGATTTCTACATAATTTTATCTAGTAGATATGTTAATATTGGAATATGATTCCAGATTGTCTCCTCACCATGGAAACTTTTGTTAAAATGGCACAGTACATAATTGTTCAATATGTAAAATGTAGTTGCATAGTTGAACTCGGGAAGGGGATCTTGGTGACTTTCTAGCTAGGCCTTCCTCTTTGTTTTCCCTAGGGAACCCTGGAAAAGTATATTTTAAAATTTATTACTTTAAATTATCTTCATGCCTTGCATGCTTAAACTAATTTAATACAGGAGATTTTTTTTTAAAGCCAGAACTCTGCTTTGATTGTAGTATTATTTTAAAATAATTCTCTATACTCTTAGGTCAATGCTAGACAAGAACCAATCTTCTCATCCTCCCAACCTCACTCTAAATGTCTCCTACTCACTTCTTGCACAAGTTTCACATCATTTTGTACTTTTTTTTTCCCTCTGATTCATTTTTATGTCTATATATGTTTGCTGATATGGCCTGACCTGAAATGGATTTTTCTAACCCCTCTTCTACAGAAGTGTATTTTGGTTTTAGCTGGGAATAAGTAATACCCAGGAGCCCTAGAATTTTTTTATTTCCCTAGGAAAGGGAAAAAAAAGCTAGAATCTTGCAAACAGGTTCAGATGTCTCTCTTCTGTCTGGTATTTTGGACTTTATAAAGAACTCTATACCTATGTTTTTATTCTACTTTCATGACAATTCTAAGAAAGTAGAAAAGATTGATCACTATTCTACTAGCTGAAAAATACAACATTCAGTTACTTGCTAAGTCACATAGTGTGTCAGCTGTTGATTCTGTATAATATCCTGGACTATGTGATTCTGTGGTGTCTTCTTTTTCTTCCACTTCAGAAAGAAGGGGAAGAGCTGTTCAAAAAAGAAAGAAAGGAAAACTCTTAGCTCCATTTATGGCATGGACTAGATTTCCAACATTGATTCATTTGTGGCATCCAAACTCACCGCTTTAACTCTCTCATATATTCTGGTGACCTCCATTTCTATCTGAAGTCCAGGTCTTTCTCCAGAGCTCTCAGCTGTTATTCTCACCTTCAGTGGACATCTCCACTTGAGGTTCTATGAGCAGTTCAATCTCAATGTGCATAACATTGAACTCTTTACTTTCTGCCATGTCTGTGCTTGTCCTTTATTCTATATCTTGTGAAAAGATGTTCAACTTCAGTGCTAACCAGGAAAAAGCAAGCTGAAAAAAACAGGTGATAATTGAATTACTGCAGAAATGACAAATGTATAAATGATTGACTTCCTATGATAATAGCAAGGATGTGGGAATAGGAGCACGCATGTACATTTCAATTTTCTTGAAGTATAGTTTACATACAAGAAAATGTGCCCATTTAAAATGCACAGTTCAGTGAATTTTGACACTTACAAGCATCCATACAATCTTCACCCAAATCCAATTCTGGAATAATTTCACCACCTCACAATCTGCTGTGACCCCTTGCAATCAAGCTCGCATCCTCTACCACTGGTCTGATTTCTATCTGATTTTTATCACTATAGGTGAGATCTGCCTGATTTAGAACTTTATTAAATAGAATCATTTAGTATGTACTCTTTTGCATCTGGTGTCTTTAGCACTGTGCATTGTTTTATAGATTAAGCTATATAATTCTGTGTATATGTAGTTTGTTTTTTTTATTACTGATTAGTTTTCCATTGTATAAATATAGCACAATTTGTTCACTCATTCACCTTTTGATAGACATTTGAATTGTACCCAGTTTTTGAAGATTATGAATTGTTGAAAAATACTCTTTTCCTCCACTGATTACCTGGGTACCTGTGTATAAAGTCAGTTGACCATGTATAGATGGATTTAGTTCTGTCCCATGGATCTATATATATCTCTTACTTACCTATCACTGTCAGACATTCACATCATTCTCTCTCTGCCACATCATTTTCCCCTATTGTATTCTCATATCTACCGTGTCTTATCTAACCTGCCCTGATCCCAAAGGGATCTTTTTATGCTCTTTATTTATAGCAATGCATTTTGGTTTCTTTAATGTCATTCACTTGAAATTCATTTTTTCTATTAAAAGATAATGCATGTTGTGTGCATTTATTATCACAATGTATTTTTCTTACTTTAGTAATGTTAAACAGAATTCTCCCCACTGTTCTTTTAATATTATGGCTTTAAAATTTTTGAGCTCTTTACTTTCATCAATTCCTTGATTAGTTGGATTATATCTTCAAGTCATTTTAAAAATAAAAATGGTACCTGAATGCTGTATTTCTTGAATTTTCCAATATTTCAGATTTTCCTTATATCTGAAGGACAACTTAGAATTTTGTAGACTTCTGTTTCCCAATTTTCCAAAATTAATGTGGAAAATTCTGAATAAGGCTGACTACTCCCTCTTCCCTCTGCCCCTTATATGGGCCGTCTTCTCCTCACCTGAAGCTCATAGGATTATTTCTACAAACTTTAAATTTCATAACTTCATCAGATTTTGTTTTTGTATTAGCTGACCTTTGTTACAGTTTTTTTTTTCATAACACAGAAAACCCCTTTTGATTTGTAGGTCTGCCTCTTTTCTTATTTCAAGAGAGTTTTTTTTTCACTGTTACATCTTTGATTATTACTGTTGTTCCTTTCCCCCCTGTTCTCTACTTTAATAAGACCAATAATTTTTGTAGCAGATTTGAAACTTATGCAACACAATCAATATAGACAAAAATTATAACTTTATTTTCTACAAATTAAGAAGAGAAACAGAATTTGCAATATTATGATTCTATAAATATTATCACTGCAGAAGCAAGATATATGATTGAACTCAGATTTTTAGAAAATGAAACCCAATGTCAATAAACTTCTGACATTCTAATAGACTCACAGACATAGAATACAGACTTGTGGTTGCCAAGGGGGTAGGGGGTGGGAAGAGATAGACTGGGATTTCAAAATTGTAGAATAGATAAACAAGATTATACTGTATAGCACAGGGAAATATATACAAGATCTCATGGTAGCTCACAGAGAAAGGAATGTGACAATGAATATAGATATGTTCATGTATAATTGAAAAATTGTGCTCTACACTGGAATTTGACACAACATTGTAAAATGATTATAAATCAATAAAAAAGTTAAATAAATAAATAAATAAATAAACTTCTGTCATTCAAAGTAAAAGTTACAAGCTTAGTTTCAAATCAGACTGTCTTTATTATACTCCATCAAATCTATCCACATTTCACTTGTTCATATTTATTTCACATACAAATCTCTCCCTCCCTCCCTGCCCCACTTTCTTAATTATTCTCTCTCTTATTCTTTCTTTTCCTTCTTTCCTTCCTCCTCTCCTTTTTGAGAGCATTTGAGATAACTTTCAGATATCAAGACATTTAAACACTATATTCAGCATTCCAGAGCCCCTAGAAACAAGAACAGCCTCGTACATAACTGCAGTAGCACTGTCACATCTAAGAAACTTAAGATTAATACACAGATATAATATGCAATCTGTATGCAAACTTCCCCAATGATAAAGACTGGTTCTTTTTTTTTTAAGTTTTCAACTTTCATTCAGAATTTGGTATCACAGACATAACCTACGTAGCCACAACGGCAGATCTCCCCTAAAGGCTTATTCTTCGCCTTTGTATTGAGTTTATTTTTTAGGATGGGAAGGATTTGAATATATTTATCTCATCACACTCAATAATGTCACAGGCTGAAAGTCTCGTTCTTTATTAGAAATTTGTTAACATATAATTGATACACCATACCATCCACCCACTTAAAGTACAACTTTATTATATATTAAGAGCTGTGAAACCATCACCACAATTTTAGAACATTTTCATTACCTCCAAAGAAATCCCATGGCCGTTAACAATCACTATGCATTTTCCCCTAGCTATCGCCAATCTACTTTACGTCTCTATGGATTTACCTATTTTCATAGTTCAAATAAATAGAATCATACCATATGTGGCTTTTGTGACTGGCTTCTTTCAGTTGTTTTTAAGGTTCATCCATATTATAGTACGTATTAGTATTTCATTTATTTTTATTGCTGAATAATATTCCATTGTATGGATAAACCACATTTCATTTATTCAGCTCTCAGTTGATGGTTGTTTCCACTTTAGGGCTACTGTGAATAGTGCAGCTATGAACATTCATATACAAGTATTTGATACCTCAGCTTTTTTAGGTACATATCTGGGAGTGGCATTGCTGTGTAACATGGTAATTCTCTATATAACTTTTTGAGGAATCACCAAACTATATTACTCATCTTTCCCCCTTCCCAATGACCCTCATCCTCTGCCTTCCTCCAAACCTATATCTCAGTCACAATGAACTTCATTTACTTTGTAAAAAGCTCCAGGCTCTCTCACCTCTAGGCTTTTTCATTTACCATTTCCTCTCTCTGGATGCTTTCATGCCCTTTTCCTGAAAAACTCCTCAGATACCACTGAACTTTCATTAACAAAATGTCCTCTCTGCCCCCCTGGATAAGGTTAGGTGTCCTTGATAGGTACTCCCACCACATCCTATATTTCCCCTATGATAACATTTGTAACACTTGATAGTAGCTTGTTTTGTTGTAATGTCTGCCAGCTAGACTGTAAGTTCCCAGAAGTCAGGGACCATGTCTTCCTTGGCCACTCTATGTCCCATCGCCCATGGTACAATGTCTTATACATGGCAGTTACCTAGTGAATATTTCTTGAAGAAATTCATTAATGAATTAATGAGAAAGTATTTCCTGGATGAATCATTCAACACATTATTTGCTATCATGGAGCTTAAACTCCAGCTGAGGAGAGAAGTTCGGTGTATTAGGAAACAGTCGTTGGACAACAGAAAACAGCCGTGATCGAATGCTGTGGTATTGGATTCTGATAGCTGCTGGAGACGACCAGGCACTGCAGAAGATAGGGAAGGGAAGTGTT